GAGCTCAAACAATCCGCCCGCCTCGGCCTCCCAGAGAGCTAGGATTACAGGCGTGAGCCACCGCGCCCGGCCCAAAACCCAAATTTTATGTGGATAAGTTGTTTGGTCAATGTGAATATGAACTGATTTAGTCTTTTTCTATCCATACAACTGGAGAGAAGAACATCATCTAACACATTTACGATGAGAAATGGTTTCCCAATAATGATACGTTGTCAATGATAAATCTTTCTAGCCTTTATAGATCAGATAATAATTTAATTCAATTTCCCCTCAACATTACATGAAATTAAAAAAAAAAAAAATCTCCCAGTCAAGATGAAAAATTCCAAATAGACAAATGAGCTTTCATGTGATCAGAAATTCTATCTGAATAAGCTAGAATTTCGGATATTTGGGCCATGTGCATGCATTCCTATGAATCCTATGAATCTGATTATTGTGTGATCTATTTATTCTACAGATCTTGTTCTCCTGAATTTTTCTTGAAATAGTAACCCACAAAAACCACATGTAATAAAGCACAAAGAGTTGAGATGTATGTTTCCAAATGGTGGGAAGAATTGTTATATACTGAAAAACCACCAAAAGTCAGTATAGTGACAAACAGCACTTTACAGAGAAGCTCTAGTGGGCTGGATTTTCAGCCACATTGAAGTCATAAAACATGCGTTTTAAAATAAAAATCCTTTTACAGTATTCTTTTAAATATGTTATATAATCACAAGATCTATAGCAGACAATTTAGGAGAAATTCTGATGAAAGTCAATGGAAATTGTATAGCAATACCCTGAATAAATTTTTGATCATACATAGATGACTGAAATGTCTTTGTATTTAAAGTATTATGGTATTTCTTAATTATACTTATATGTGGATAGTTTTCTGGTTCTAAATTAGATACTTAACTCTCAGGTCACCAGACTGTTATCAGAAGATGTCACTTAAGTAAACAATGCTGTCTTCAAGTGCGAATTTCTCAGCTTTTTAAATAAAGTTATCATCAATGCATATCTAACATTTGCATTTGAGGATATATATTGCACCAATTTTTTTCGTGGATCAACCTAGCATATCCTTGGGAAGGATATGTTAAAAAGTCCCACGAGGTCCCCAGTTGTCCCACATTCTCATTAGCATTTGGTAATGTTAGTTTTCATAAATTTTAGCCATTCCAATGGGTGTACAGTACACTTTGCTAGTACATTGCTGGTGGGAGTATAAATCTGTATAAACATTTTTCAAAAAACTGTTTGGGCATAAAAACTTAAGCTGAGTATGACCATACATGTTATGACCTAGAAATACTACTCCTAAAGTATTGACTCAATAGAAATGTACACAAAGGTGCGCCAAAAAATATGTACAAGAATATTCACAGCAGCACTATTTATAACAACAAAAACTGGGAACACCCCAAGTATCTATCAATAGTAGAATGGATAACTAAATTATGGTACATTCACATAATGAAATACTATGCAGCCATGAGATTGAATGAATAACGTGCACGAATCTCACAAAGCTGAGCAAAAGCACCCGGGAAGAGAAGACTAGACACTGTACGATTCCATTTAGACAAAGTTCAAAAACAGGTAAAACCGATTTATGGTGCTAGGATAGTGATTACCTTGGGGAGGGTGGGTTGTGACTGGTGCAGGCATGAGGGGGGCTTCTGAGATGCTGCTAATGTTCTGTTTCTTTACCTGGGTGACTACACAGGTGTATTCATAGTCGTCAAGCTGAGCTTCATAATTTGTGTACTCTTCTGATGTATGCTACAGTTCAATAAACACTTAAAAACAAATCTCAGTCTTAATTCATTAAGGTTTTGGAGACTTAAGTGATGTTTCAAACTCACGATTGCTATTGTAGTACATTATAATGGAAACACCTCTCCCTACCAGAAGTGCGGATGGGAACGAGCCCTGACTCCCGTTCACACAGCCCATGCAGCCCAGGCACTTACAGGATCTCCTCGCAGGCCCTTTGCTCCACGGTCACCAGAAGTCCCTCTCTTTCCTGGGCTTCCCTTAAATTGATACAAATCAGAATAAGAACAAGGCAAGACTTTTATTTATTTATTTTTTGAGTCATCAAAGGCAAGACTTTTAAATAAAATTAATAAAAGCAAAGGGATTATCTCCTCCCTGGTGTGAATAAATATTTTTCTAACTAAGGTTACTTCTAAACTGGAAAGAGGAACAATAAAAAAATCAGTTTCAAGCATCATAGAAATAATTTAATCATGAACTCAATTATTTGCCACAGTGGAGAACTCTGTGTTCCAGATACATTTGTTGTCTTGTTCACTTTTTACAGCGATTCTACGAAGCAGGAATGGCTCATTACCTTTCTCATATAAGGCAGGAGAGATTCAGTAATATTATACAATTTGCCCAGAGTGGTTGCATCAGTTATAAAGCAGGTTTCTGACTCAACTGCTCACTCTCTAAAGACAAAGCAGATGAGGGAAGCATGACTGCTGTTGGTATCTATTCTGGACAGAAATGAGTGGCATGCACTCCTCAAGGCGCTGCCTTGCACCACACATCCTTGTCAACACCCTACTTCTGTTCTTGATGTGGTAGCTGCTTGTCCTTAGTGGCCACAATCCACTCCTCCCAGTTTCTATGTCCTTTGCCAGGTAACTGCAGTGACTTCCAACCATGGTGGGTGAGATTCCCTTCCCCTATTTGGCCACTTGACTTGATTTGGCCAAGAGAAAGAAATGAAAGTGTTGCTGTGAGAGTTACCAAACGAGGCCTCATATGTTTTCACTTGCTCCCTTATGCTTCTGCCAAGGTCATGAAAGGGTCATGGCCAACATGGCCCGGTTAGTTCCTGGTCACAGGAGGATAAGAGACACATGGAGCAAAGTCCTTGGCCAACCTACAGACACATGAGCCATGGTCAGCCATGCCCAGCCTAGATCAGCTGAACCCCTCAGACACATAAGAAGTAGGTGTGTATTGTTGTATTTGTTCTATGTGATTGAGCTTTTGTTGTTTGTCACAAAACAATTCTGTGGCAATAGCAGACTGATACACCCAGGGTAGGTGTTCTACTCCATCAATACACTTTAATTCCCAGTACAGTTTTTATGTTGTCCTTTTATTGAATCCCTACCTGGGATCCCTCATCACCCTTTTCTCCTTTTCTTCCAGGAAGACCACTGTCACCCTAAAAAAAACAGAGGAAAAAAACCCTCAAAGTCCCATTTTTGTGGTGGGAAGTAGCTCAGAAGGGTCACTATGGTACAAGGTACCTGTTCTCCATTTAATCCATCAAGTCCAATTTCCCCAGCTTCTCCCTGAAAAAGAAAGATGCAGATGTGGTTAGAATAGAGTGCATTACATGCATGTGGAAAGAAGTCAGATACAAAACAAAACTAGTCTAATTTTGTGTTTCACATACAGCCTCTTTGTTAGGCTGGACCTGGGTAACATCAAAGATTACTCAGTAATAGAAACTATAACAAATAATATACATCACCCACAATAAAGAATAGAAATAAACAAAATGAAATGGCTGGTAATAAAAAAGGAATGTCAATATGAATTTCAGTTGGATAATTTATAGTTCAATAATCTCAAAAAAATATTTCTAGATGACAGATAGGCAGATAAATGAATGTGGCCTGGTACTATACCTCCTGTCCACTTAGTCCCCTGTTTCCCTGAAAATAGAAAGGACAGTAGTAGTTAGCACAGGACAACAGAATTAATGTTGGGAAGACTTTGCAATGTGTTATGCGACTCTTACCTTAGGACCTTTGGTGCCATGGCATCCCTTAGTACCTGGCTCTCCCACGGGTCCGGGGGCTCCTCTGTCTCCCTGAGAAAGAGCACATATCCAGATGAGCTTTTTCTATGGTAATTTGGAATCTGTCTTGGAAACTTGACAAGCTTTTGTTGGAAAAAATGTGTGACTGCTCATGGTTTACAATCCAGAATTCATACTTATAAAAACTAAGAGTGGAAACAAATCAGAGCTACCCTGAGGATAACCTTTTGCTTTGGATCCCACTTGCAGATTGCCCGGGTGGGGCTTCTCTCTCCCCAAGTGGTCACTGAGTTATTAATATGTCCTTTCAATCTAGTCATACTATCCCAAGCCCAGATTAAGACCTCTTTGTCTTGCACCTATGACTGTAAGATTTTGCCTATAACCCTACTTTATCATCATCCAAAATGTAGCCTGAGCATGCTTTCTAAACACCCCCATCATTTTTTTTTTTTTTTGAGACAGAGTCTCACTGTGTTGCCCGGGCTAGAGTGCCATGGCGTCAGCCTAGCTCACAGCAACCTCAAACTCCTGGGCTCAAGCGATCCTCCTTGCCTCAGCCTCCCGAGTAGCTGGGACTACAGGCATGCGCCACCATGCCCAGCTAATTTTTTCTATATATTTTTAGTTGTCCAATTAATTTCTTTCTATTTTTAGTAGAGACGGGGTCTCGCTCTTGCTCAGGCTGGTTTCGAACTCCTGAGCTCAAACGATCCGCCCGCCTCGGCCTCCCAGAGAGCTAGGATTACAGGCGTGAGCCACTGCGCCCGGCCTACACCCCCATCATTTTTACTGCTGTGCTCAACACCATTCAGTGACTTCCCATCAACTAGAAGACACAATCCAAATCTTCTGCAGGGTATTCAAGACTACCAATAGCCTAGGTCTTCTTCCTATATATAACCTCCTCCCTGTAGCATCCTGGGTTCCTGCCATGTTGACCATGTGCTATTTTGCAAACATGCAATTCTCTGACTCAGTTAAATGTCCTTGAATGCACTGTTTCCTCTGTAGTAGAATGTTCCTTCCCACAAACTTTGCCTGAAGAAATTCCTATTGTCCTTCAAGTGTCTGCCCAAGCATCACCCCTTGTTTGCAGCCTTCCCCCTCAAGCCCCAACTTCAGCCAAAGCTATTACCTAAGTATTTTGTTCTGCCACACTCCTCTGTACCTCTGTATACTTCTAGTATAGCCCTTGTATATAACAACTGGAACTCATTGCGTTTCCACTAGTCTAGAAGTTTCCTGAGGTAGAAACCATATTTTTCCTTTTATTTATTTTTCTTATTTCTGGGGCCTAGCACTATGCCTGGGGCATGATAAGATATTTGATATATATTTGTTAAATTGATAAATTAATAAATTACATTAATGATTAAGGTCTTTGACAAATAATGTGGTAAATGGTAAGATGTTTAATACTTAATTGTTAAAGAAACATTTGGATGGAAGGACTGATGGAAGGACGGATGGATGAATGCAAGAAAGAGTGAGGTCCTTGATAAACAAGGTGGCAAGTGGGTTTACCTTTGCAAAATGTTCCAGGACAGGGGAAATAGCAGTGATTCAACTCCCCTAGTGAAGAAGAAAACTCTTGCATTGAATTCATTGTGCAATGTTGGTGGAGAGTCAAAGAGGAGACAGCTGGTTAATAAACCACTGCTGACCACCAGAAGCAAAGCACAGCGAAGATAAGAAAGACGTTAGGTTTTGCGCACATGAATCTTTAGAACTCGACCTTCCTTGCTTCCCTCTGAATTGACTCAAGGTATTTCATATTGTAGATGTGTTCTTAGAGATAAATGGAGTTGAACAAATCCTTGACTTACAGCAATGCCCTCCTCTCCCAGATAACCTTCACTGCCTTTAAAACCCGGGGATCCCTGGAAATAAGACACGGGAGAAAACATTAGCATCCATAGACCAAAACCCAAAGGTAATGAAGCAAAATTCTTCAGCTTTACAGTTTTAGTTCATGTGTAATAAAGAGCTTGAAAAAAATAGTTCTTCCTTCCCAACCTAGGCTGCCTTTATATACATAAAAAGAAATGGAATTTTGTGACAAGTCTCCAGATAACTCAACGGTGTGCGTCCATGTGCAATAATAATATTGTCTGTAACTCTCTCTGGGTTTATATATAGTACTGGAGTTTTTTTTTTGAGACAAACATTCAAGCGAACACAGCTGTATTTGCCCCTGACAGACTGGAATTATCTTCTTTTCATTAAAAAACCTCTTTTTTTAGGATTTATGCTACACATAGAAAAAGAGACCACACACATTTCTTTCCGTTCTTTCTGAGGCCTGTTTTTAAAAAAGAAAAAAACCTGCCCTTCTCCTGACATGAAGTTGAAGCATTCAGGAAATAATTGGTCCAAAAAATTTATTCAGAGACACAGTCCCAGTGATTTGGGAATATAGTTGCTATCTATAAATTATTCAAAAATGAAACACATATATAAACAAGAGCATTGAAATTATTTAACATATCCATAGTGTGCTTATACATATTTGAATATTTCTTAAAGTTCAAAACAATATTTTTACATAAGGGTACATAAACTGTTCTTGGTTAGGAAATATATAGATCAATGTTGTTGGTTACTGTTAATATTTTTTAATCATTGGCCTGTTTTGGGGCATATATCTGTGATAACATTTGACCTGGCTAAAGCTAAACAAAACATCTTAACATCGTTTGTTATGGGAGATTGATCTGATCTAGTGTGATTTTCAGCAGACTACACAAAATATCTTCTACTTGATTTTAATGACTGCCATCATTAAAATTGAATGCCAAGATGAGCTATTGGTATTAAGGAGGTTTTCATTATTCAACATGAGCCATCACAGCTGATTTTTCTGTATCCTTGTCATCACTGCCAGAACACTGGATAATCAATGATCTTGACAGTTGTTTCTCCTAAGACTTCTATTAAAACTTTTTTAAAAAACTGTTCAATTTAAAATACCAAGGAAAATCCATGACTATCTACTTCAACTTATAAAAAAGGGAGTATAATAAACTATTTACCTTAGTGACTCTATCTGGAAGTTAAAAGCACCCCGATTTTTACCTAAATCCATGTCTGAAAGACATACTACAATTCAATTAAAGTGAACCATAAACCTGAACTAAAATCACCTTTTTCCCTGGTGGTCCAGAATCTCCCATTGAGCCATCTCCTCCAATGCACTTGCAGAACAAACAGCAGCATGTCCTTTCAGCAACATTGACCTTGGGAGAGAGTGGGAAATATATTACATTTGGTGGTATTGCTTCCCAAATCATGTGTACAAAGCTCAACCATGTGATCCAGACTCCTACCACAGTCTCGGAAGCCTGTTCACCATTAAAATGACTGCACTAGAGGAATGCATGAAATATTCTTTTGCTTCTCATCTTTCCTCTGTGATCTGCATTCTCCACCATTTGAGAAATTCCAACTCAACTCAAAAATATTTTGTGTTCTCAAAATGGTATCAGTGTAGCCATGGCCAACTCACTACATACTAATTTATTAGTGTGGTTGCCTGTTCCTGCCCCGCCCCACCCCACCCCGACATTGACCATGGTATTGTTGATTACCTTCTATAATTCTGCCCCAAAAGCTTTGTTCAAATAAAATGAATGAGTGCTGTTTTCTCCTTTCCCCATTTTGTAAAATCTTGGTGTGCTAGGGCATTAGACAATGCCCAATGTAACACTGCTTGGAACTGAGTCCAGTGATAAATTCTTCCAGAACACTTTCGATAAGATTTCAAAAACACCAATTACATGTCCAACATTTTGGAAGCATTTGCTGCAGAGGATGGGGCTCTGGGGAGAATATTCCTCTTTATACTCTGGCCAAAAAACCCCATATTATATATTTAAAAATGTGAGTGAATTTCATCCTGGACTGACTTAGTCATCCCCTGAATAGCTGACATATTGCATTACCATTTTTACAATTAACCCATCAGAGTTATTTTTAGGAAACTTCTATTTGCTGTCAATGTTATGTTTCACTTTAGTGGGGTAGAATCAATCTTCATATTGTGAAATTTCCCATTAAATTTCAGTGCAACAAAAAATGAAAAATTTTACAACACATGGTTGTAAGAAAATTTAGCGATTTTCTCCCTTTATTTCCTATTATAATGTCCTTTTGACATTATAAAATTCTCCCTCTTTTCCTGAAAATTTCAGAGAAAACCATAACACTGGAAACATGTGAAATCAAACAATAACAAAATGATTCTATTACTTCATATGAGACAATATAAATTTTCTTTGGATCACCAAAATCCTATAGCACCAAATCTATTACTGTTAACATTAAAATTGATCTATTTCTCAAATTGATTATGTTTCTTACATAGTGTTCCATTTATGTGATATCTAAAAACCGATGGGTTTGTTCTAAAGAATAACTTTCTCTATGAATTACCAATACTGATTTCAAACAGTAGCAGGCAGAAAAATACATTTTGTAAAATAAACACTATCTTCCTAGGTAAGAAGGAATTCTGAAAAGTTTTTATATTATTTTTACATAATTACTACACTGAAAAAAACTGTTTAAATATTTACATATAAATTGATAGGTAGAAAAATAGCAGGAACTAGCCCTTTCTTGGAAAGTGTTCTCATATGGTGATTAAAGATATTATGAATTATAAGCAAATTACAAATCATCAGCCATTCATTAAAGTAGCTTGGTAACACTTCACCACTCAAGTTTGAATTGTTGTATGTTTCTGAAATGAATATGATGGAGATACAACATTAGGTTCCAAACATAGAACATAAGGTGAAAATCCCAGAGTCATGACAACCCTGGTTCAACTGCTGATAAAGTACAACATATGAGGGTTATTGTCACTAGTTTTCCCTCCAGCATTAGAGCAGATTGTTCTTGCTAGTTGAACTCCAAATATAATTTGCTCTCATTTATAGGCCATGTTGCAGGAAAAATACATCTTCAACACTAGAATTATATTCAGTGGGGTAAGCTATTATGCTTAGGATCTGTAAAGGATGTGAAAACTGGCTGGCTGAGGGAATAGCCGATTCATGCTCACATCTCAGATTCTCTTTGGTACTCATGTTCATTGACTATAATTTGGGCAGAATTGTAGGTGCCATTTAAATATTTTGTCTGCTCTTCCCCTTCTTTTTCTTCCTCTTTTTTTTTTTTTTTTTTTGCCAAACATATAAGTTAAACATGCCTTGACATACTACATTGCCACCAAACACCCTCTTATTCAGGCTGTTCACTAATTCAGAAAAGTCTTTCTTCTCTCCCAAATAAACACCATTAGCTGAAATCCATAAGTATAAATATTAAGTCTATATGCAGTAATTGAAAATTTAAGCTCACCAGCCTTTTCTGAATAACTTACCAGCTGCTTTGATAGCCGGCTTCCAAGATCCCTCATGCCGATAGTGAGCTGTGTCCTGTACTCAAATCCTTTCCCAAATTCAATGTAGGGAAGATCACCTGAGTCACTGGAATCTACAGGTCCATCCAGAGCAACAGTTATGAGGGCATTCAGACCTAGTCAACACAGTGTACAATTCTCCAGTTGAGGTGGATTTAGTTACTTTAATCTTTTTGCAAACATATTTAAATTGTCATTCTCGGTTGCAAGAAGAACTCTCATTTTATTGTCTACTTCCCCCAACTACATGATGCAAATCTGACAAGTGATGAGGCTATAATATGAGCACAAAAGGAATTATATTTTTCAAAACTAATTAAATTGGAAACAGGGGAAATGGTAACAAAACTTCTAGTTCCACGATGATTTGAAGTGAGACAGTGAGTTAAAAGTTAGCGAAGAGCATGCTAAAATACAGAGGCATTCACATATCAAGAAAGTAAATATTCTACATTTCTGCCACTCAGTGGGGGATCCTTGGAGCAGCAGCATTGGCATCACCTGGGGGCTTATGAGAAAGGCAGAATCTCAGGCCGCTCCCATACTTACTGAATCAGAATCTGCATTTTAACACAATCCCCAGGTGGTTTTTATGCACATTAAAATTTGACAAGCACAGCTCTAAATGACCCGATAAGAAATCGACTATCCAGTTAGAACTATAAATAATAAAAGACAGTGCTAGACCTATTGTCAGGTAATTAGGAACAAATGATGCACAATCATCTAGAGCTGTGGCTCTTAGGCTTTGGGATTTTAGGGATAAGATTATTTCTAAAAATACTGTTAGGACTAACACAGGATTGCCAATGACTTATTTTGCTAAGTAAAAACATTAATTGATGACGGTAAGAAACCTGGCAATCATCATGGTGGAGGGAGTAACCACCGCAGCAATGGTGCTAGCGTTTGCTAACAGCTAACTGTGTGCCTGGAGCTGGTTAGGTGCTTTATGTGCATTATCTTATTTGTAAGATACAATTACAACACTATAGGTACATATGATTATAGCCCTATTTTACAGATAAGCAAACTGAGGCTTGGGGAGGTTAAGTGACTGGTTCAAGTGATATTTTTAGGTTTTCACATAGACAGCTCGATTCCAAAGCCTACAAAAGATAGTGTAACAACAAAAATGCACTAAGAATATAACCAGGGAATAAAGACTAGTCCTAAAATTGAACAAATTTAGCTTAACGCAAATCTGACTCCACTGGCCTAAGTTTTCTTATTTTATTATGGATGGGTAAAGAATTCTTCAGCTGCGATTTGGATGCCAATGGGCCAGAATAAAGAAAAGTTCGAAGACTTGGCTAAGCATCAAGAACACCTTCTCAAATAAGTTTATATGATGTGATTTTGAATGAAGTGAGGTGTAGATGAGAGGAGAAGGAAAGGAATAATGTGGCAAGGACATATTGGAGAGGCTCAAGTTTTAGGAGAGGCAAACAGAATGGCTGGCTGAAGTGGAATAAAGAAAGAACCACCAAAGAAATAGGGTGACCTATTCGTCCTGGTTTGCCTGGCACTTTCCTGGTTCTAGTGCTGGAAGTTCCTGTCTTGTCCCAAGCAAACCAGGACAGTTGGTCATTTTGCTAGAATGGAAATGAGGAGGGCGGGGGGAAGAGGTTGTAGGGTGAGCTGGGAGAGGCAATGCTCTGTACATGGATTGGAGTTTAGTGATCAGGCGAAGGCATGCCAATGAGTCTATTTATAAAAGGGAAAAAAATCTTCTCACATCTGATTTTTTAAATAAATTACAGGAAATATTTAAGCGTTATGAGAATCATGGGATTGTTGATTTGCAGGAAATGTGCATATAGCTATTATGTATTCCTGCTTTTCTCAGGATCGGGGTACTCCAAAGTACTCTACCTTTTAGACTCATCCAACAAATGTGTCATATGGTCTTAAATAAAGTGTATTCAATTTCTAAAAATGAATTAAGAAAGAAAAGATTTTAGAATTGGGGGAATAAAGAATCACTGAGTAGATTCTAGGGTATTATATTCTATTATACAAAATTAATAAACTAATTCAAACCCCAATCCACATGGACAAGTTATAAAGCCACCATCAAGCATTCTTTTCTCCTTGTCTCCTCTTGTTCAGTGATGATGCCACAGTTTACATGTCGAGATGCAGGTGTGGGATGGGGCCTGAGATCCTGTGTGGTATCTACATAGGCCTCAAATTAAGGAGGCTCTTCCAGGCCAATATGAACAATGAATCATAGAGCCCAGCATCAACTGAAATCATATGGGAAGCCAGGGCTAGAGGTACTTCATGCCCATAATGAGAGCCATTTGACCTTTCAAAGAACATTATGGGCATAATTTCTTCATCTCTTCCATTCTAAGATTCTAAATTTCTGAGGATGTTATTAAAAAATCTAGCTTCTGAAGTTGATTCTCATTTATTAGTTTTTCAGTGGGAGCTGGAAGAAAGAGGATTGGTCTTAGACTTCTGGGTATTCCAAAGCACTTCCTGGAAGAAACTCTAATGTTGTCTGCAAGACATACATCTTTTCCCCACGAAGAAAAGCTGAAACAAACAAACAAACAAACAAAAATCTACCCAAACTAAGCAATCTAGGGTGGTGTTCTCAGTCCTTATTAAAATTTCTATTACAGTTCATGAACAAAGGCCAAAACTTGATAGAATAAAAACAAGGCAGATGTAGTAAATAGAAGATAAAATAAAAACCCTTACTTTCCAGCTGTAAATTCAGAGAATATTGCAATTTGTTTAAGATTAAGGAGAGAGAACCAAACAGAAAAGAAAGTGTCCAGTCAGTGTTCCTTAGCTAACCTGAGAGGTAGATGTCTTAGATCTGGCTCCCTAAAATCAGAGCCTGAGATAGGGATTTGGAGACATGCAAATTGTTGAGGAAGCATGCACAGAAGAAAAGGGGTGAGGAAACAGGACAGGGCAGGGGAAACTGCTGAGAAAGACAGTGCTTCAGCTGGAGCCTAGCCTTGGCTTGATCCCACGAAGTTCTGGAGCATAAAGTGCACCACAGCACCGGGCTGGGGAGTAACCTTCCAGGTGAGGGGGCTCCCCCTGGCCAAGGACAGTCCTCAGAGAAGGAGTAAGCTGTGAGTCGTTAGTAGCCAACACAGCAGCTGGAGGGATGGGTGAGCCTGCCAGCAGAGGGGATCTGGGTGGGGCGACAATAGCACCCACTTACAGGAGAGGATTTCTATTCTTAGGGAAGCCAGAACACATGGGTCTATTTTGCTTCCACTGATCCATATTTTAATAAGAACTGACAATAAATCAGATTGGCCTTTGGTTCCAAAAGCCTGGTGCCAGAGCGTTAAAAATTCATAAACACCATGGTTGGTCCATCTGTGGTCTCAAGGAAGGAACTGATTAGAAAGCTCCAAAACAAAAAAACAAACCAAAACCAAAAAAAAAAAAAAAGGCTCAAAACATAAGTAACTTGTCCAACAATGCTTGCAACTCTTAAAACTTTAAGAGTGTTAAAAGAAAATGTTAAAACTCTCCCATTCCTTGGTCAAGGAGAAATATACTGTTCAGCTAACACTAAAGAAGTAGCAATATTATACAATGTGGGGCAAGGGAGAAAGGAACATTCTCCAGGAAAGGTTAGGAGGAAGAAATATAGTAACATGAGACAAAAGATAGGACTTTGTATTCAGCACTGTTTCATACACACAGAGCATGAGGGAAAAAGTAGACACCATAATGTTCTGAGCTCATTTGCTTTGTTGAGAACAAAGTAGAAAGAATGAAAATTCAGGGTTATTTGAGTGCCTGGAAATTTAAGAGCCAGAATTGAGTTCTGAGATCGTAACATTTATAAGCATTCCCTTCCCACTCCTCCCCCATGTTCAGTACCTTTCTTTCTAAGTTCATCAGATTTTTGTTCAAGTTTTTCAATATCATCATCCAATCCATCTGAAAATAAAAGGACCACCTAAGAAAGAATTCAAAAAAGAAAAATGAGTAAGAGGAGTTCATTGGAACCATAGACCAACAAATAAAATACCACATTACCTTTCCTCGAGCAGCTGATTTATTCTGAAATGTATCCCATAGAGAACTCAAGAGGTTTGCATTGAGAAGAGATGGTCCTTTAACTGTTATACCTTTTAAGCTGTTCAGTATGTTTTCACTGTAGATCTCAAACTTGGGAGAGTACTTTTCCATGGCATTTGTCACTTGAAAAGCCACACTGACCTGAGTCTCTGTGCCCACCTCACAGCTCACCCCATTGAGGGAGCTGATGGCATGTAAGATTTCTTGAAGGTAGGTTCCTGTCCAAGACTGGCCTTCGAGCAAAGTCTGCCCTTTCTGCTGAGTTGAGATATCAAATCCCACCACGACATCCACAAAGCAATCTAGAATTCAAGGGAAAAGCATGTCTTTTTAAATCAACACCTTTATTTGACTTGGATGCCATGTATGAATCAAGGGACTCGGAATACTTATTTCTTTTTCCCTTATAAAGCTGGAAAACAAGGAAGGGCATGAGTAAATGGAAGAGGTTCAGAATCACTCTTTTATAATCTGTAAAAGCGTAAGTGTACATTTTTTTCCAGCTGGTATAAAATCTGCATGATTCTATAACAATTAAAGCTCTGAAAGATTTTATTGTTGCCATTGAAAAAGCCATGCAGCGACATTTGAATATCTCTAAAGTACATTGTGGGAATGTTAATAGTCTAAAATAAGAAATTCATATCATGCTACTTATCAATTGAGGTCACTCAACGCATATTAAATTATAATAATTATAAGAGAAATGTAAGAACATTTGAATAGAGAAAGTCATTTAGAAAAAAATCACAAAGGACTTTTCTAAGGAATGATTTTGATGATTTGTCTTTCTAAATAGGGCCTTTGATTCCTCTTTTTGTCTTCTAACAACACTCAGAAAAGGAAAAGTAAAAACAAAACTTAAAGACCCAAGGGATCCTTTGAGCTTTTGCTTGATTTAAGTCCTGCAAGTGAAGAAACTAGGAAGCAAATTACTCATCTTCAACCATGTCAAAGACAGTGCTGCCTTCAGGAGCTCAGCCATTCAGGAAGCCAAGGACACTGCCATTTCGAGTTCTAGAAACACCTAGAGAGGTGTTGCATTTTAAAGTGCTTTGCTGTTATCCTTATTAACTCCAGGGAAATGTAAACATTGGAGGAGGCTTGATATTTTAAGGTGAGCGGATACAGGCAGATAGTTAGAGAAGGATAAAGTTATATGACACATACGCTCTTCTAAGAATTTTTGACTTGGCTAACAACTTCAACCTTTTCAGCAAACTCAATACATACAGCTTGCTTGATAAAATAAGGAGTGATTTTTTTTTTTTTTGAATTTGCTTTGTTTAGATCAGCAGTTTTTTAAGATATTTGTTGTGTGGACGAATACCTGCCTAACCACTGCCCAGACATACTATAAGTTTTTGAAACCAAAATGTCAATTCCAATTCTTAAAACAAGGGCTAGATGAGGCTTGAAGAGTTGGAAGAAGGAAAATAAAAGCCTTATTTGATAATCAATTTTCCCCATGAGCTTCAAGGTAAATCAATGGGCCATCTAAAAAACTAAAAGGTTGGTTTTCTTATATTACTGTATTTTACTTTATTGGAAAATCTCCTCTTGGATATTCAGAAAGTGAGATGAAGAGAAACAGTCAGAGGAAGCATCAGAACATGTCCTTTCCAAAATTCCTCTCAAATCTTAATGTTCTCATATCTGTCTTGAGATTGAAAGTTTCACTTTCAGATGAACATTGTTTTAACCTCTGAAGACAGAACCAGTTAGCAACCAAGATATGTTACTGCCTTCAAGGAAAACAGACTCGTGAAAAAACAAACTAGCAGAAATGCCAAAATGATATCAAGTGACCCTGGGAACTGTTTCCCACAGATATCGAGTATTTTAACTTTTTTGTCCAGATTGTTGAAAGTACACACTTCTTCAGGTAAAGAAGCTCCTTGTATTTAATTCAAATTGACAAATGATTCCATGACAATGTGATCAAAGCAATTGAATTTGGTGGAGTTCAGCGTTAGCAATCGTATGTTTAAGTACAATTAGAAGAGCAGGCCATCCCGGTCAAGTGGGCTCTCAGGTAATGGCCTTAAAAACTCTGAGACAACTTCCCTTAAGTCAGTGGCCCTCCAAAGTTCTGGAACTGCAGAGTTCCCTGACAGAGGCTGTGCTTTAAAGTCAATCTGCCATTGGTGATTTGAATTAACTGGAGGCCGGGACAGTCTTAGAAGTGAGCTAGGGAGAAGGCTAAAATCAAATTTCCAAAGAAATAGTGAAGACGCTATGATGACAGGAGTGGGAGCAGGACAGGGACAATAAAAACAAGGAGAATGAAGAAGGCAACCACAGGGCTGGCCATGGAGGGCGATAAAAGAAGTAAAAGTAGCAGCCTGAGCCCTTGACCGGTCCTCCAAACAGCAATGCGGAAGCCTGGGGGGCAGGCCTTTGAGTGGGAAGACAAGAAGTTTAGTTTTAGGCATGTGCTGGTCACCACTCTGTTATTGCTAAAAAACTTTTGGCAAATCTTTAACCTCTCTGGGCACTAATTTTCTTGTCTACAAAAGTAAGGGGATTATATATTTCAAAATAAAAATACGAAAGAACAGAAGAGAGTGAATTGACTAGACAGTTGCAGTCTCAGGGCTCCCTGCCAGGCTCCAAAGCTGATTCTAATTATCTGATTTGTAAAACAACTGCAGTCAACGACGATGGCAGATTCTTAGTCTTGCTGTTAAGAAGCTAGGGTGTAATCATAAAATAAGACAGATTCCTGAGAAAATCCTTTAAAGGGGAAAATGATGTTACTGGCAGTTATTAGCTGGGATAGGTGAGAAATCTGCTTGGGGACTTTGAAAGAAGGGGTATTTTAGATGAAAAAAGAAAAAGGATGATCTAGAAAATATAGGTGAGACATTACATTTGAATATAGCTCAAAATACCACTGAAATAGCTAAATCTCTAAACCAAGGAACTCTTGGTAAACTGCTCTTCTGTGCACTCACTCCATCACTCCCTGAATTTTCATTTATACGAGCACTTCAAGGTGCCCTCGGCAACATGCTGTGATACTAATGAATACTCAACAAACCTTTACCATGCACTTCTCATTATCTCACTTGTCCTTATGAAACATAGGATAAGTAGAAACTCTTACAATAGTCATTCTGCAGATGAGGAAGCTGTGACTTAGAGAAGCTTGCCAAAGGTCTCACAGTTGCTACTGTGGATCTCACACTTGGGATTCAGATCCAGGTTTCTCTGCAATCCGTTTGCTGAGCCACCTTGTTTTACCACTTCCTGGGTAGCCAGTGATGATAGGTCATGCAGGCTCCCAGCTCTGCTACTAGCTTGTGTTATTGGAAGTGACAGCTTAGCAGCAAGTGGTTCCTTTAGGGAGCAGCAACTTGAGAGAGTAATTTCCAGGAGATAAACCCATGAAGTTGTAGTAAGCTCCGTGTATTAACTGGTGACAGCCAACACTTAGACACTAGTTCATGTCAACATCAGATAACCTAGACAGACAACTATGTCAAGAAAATAATTTAACCAAAAATAAAATGGGGGGGGGCGGTTAGAGTCAGACAAATCTAGGTTTCAAAATGTACTTAGTCTTTTACTTCCTGTATGAACTAGACCACTCTACCAATACTCCATTGAGCACCAGTTTCCACATTTAGAAATAAAAATAAAAATATAAACCACATGGCATATTGGAAGAATTAAATGAGATAATGCATTTAAAGTGCTCAGAGCACCAGGCTTGACCCTTTGTAGATGCACAAAATACAACAATTCTTGGTCACCTCCTTCTTGTCTCCAAGCAGCTGACCTTCCTTTCTCATGTATCAAATCATAGTATACAATTAGAGAAGCTCTTAGAGAGGACTGAGCTCTACCAATAAGAAAACTAAGTAACATTCAGAAAGGGTAGCGACTTCTATGAAGTTGTGGATGTTTTAGTAAGAAGCAGAGCAAATGTTCAGGCTCTACGTCCAACTTGTTCTGAGCCACACCCAGCTACTGTCTGATTTCCTTGACTTGGGGATTTATAGTTTGAGAAGAACTGGCACACCCTAATACATTTGCACATGCCTTTGAAGCTTTATCAGTGCTCATTCCAGCCCCTTCAGTCCTCAGCTCACAGCCTGGCTACAAAGGCCTCACATTCTTGCTTGCTGGGGTAATAGCCTCAAGTTTACTTTAATAAAGAATATTTATTTTATTTTTTTGCTTTCATGACTGTTTCCTTTAAAGATAACTCACTGACTACTTGGAGTTCATACTCCTGTTTTTGACTTTTTACATTGTTTTCTCCATGCACTCAAATAGAAACTAGATGGTTCCAAGAAAATTTTCTGTCTAATAATTGGAAATGGGTATTTCACGTGAAATAGGAAATTAATGTGGAAGGGCTGGCTGAGGTAATCAGACACATTCCAAAGTATGGGGAAACCATGAAGCAGGATTTACACAGCCTTAAATCTTAAACTTAAGAGTCCCTAAATCTTAACCTTTAACATACACATTAAGTCTTATAAAAGGTTTGAGATTGGAGTTTGGAAGAGCGTGTTTGGAGAGAGCTGCCGATGTGCTATGAGTCCTCCCACTACACGTGTGCATACACGCATGCACACACATGCACACACACAGTAATTTCCTTTTGAAGTCAAGAGAGGGGCTTTAAGAGATAACTTAATCCTGGAATCTAATCTAAAGAATGATACACAGGATAGCATGTTGCTCTCCCTGCAAAGGAGAGACATCCACATTGGAGGGCACTGATATGTTATTGTTTCCCACGGAGCTGATATGGCCAAATGTAAGAAAGAGCTGTTGTGGGCTTCTCTGATCTCCTATCCAAGAAGCCTACCTGGAGGGGGCAGAGAGACCTCAGCAGAACAAAGCTGGAGGTATCACCAGATGCTCAGAAGCTGAGGAAGCTATAAGGAACCATCCAGAATTGAGACATACCTATCCTCCTCAAAGGAACCATGGTTGGGAGGTCGTCTGATGAATGTGCTTTGGTGGCGGCAGAGATGATGGAGAACAGAAAGGAGAATCTTTCAAGGACCCATGAATGGACCCAGCTGTAGATATGCACTATCATCAGAGAAAACCAATTCCTGACAAGGACCATCAGATTAAAACTTTCCTGTACCCCTTTAGCTCTTCTCCCTTTCAAAGTCAGTTCTGGGGAGGCCAGAAACCATGCTTAGCAAGAGGCGGGCAGGGATGGGAGGAGGGGGAGAACTGGAAGGGAGGGGGGGCAACAGGTGAAACACCAACCATGTGTGGTCTCTTCTCTCATGGCAGGTGAGCAGCCTGCAGCAGGCTAGAAAAGCGGCAGAGCCTTGAATGAGTTTTGCAGCTTTCACAGTTACACTGGGATGGACGTACTAATCACCAAGAGGCGGTTCATTTATTTCCTGAAAGTAACTAGGGCCCAGGGAAGAGCTGGCCCCCATAATAAATGTAAAGGGCATGTGGTATAGAAAAAAATGAATCGACTTTACAATTACACCCCAGGTGCCATGCTTATTCAAAGTAAAGTTTAAAACACGCATTTTCTCATTTGATCCTCAAAATGATCTTTTGCACTAGGTGCTATTTTCTCACATTTCATACGTGAGAAAATTAAACTTAGAGAAGTGACTTGTCCAAGAAAAAATAGTCACAGAGAAGGGATTTGTGGTCAGGTCATCTGTCTCCAGAGCTGCCTCTTAACGACCTTGTAGCTTTCCTTTCTTTTGGTGGAAACCTGGGGTTAATGTTTACCATAGGCAGTTACACAGAATCACAGCCAACCCATAAGGTGCCGCCTTTATAATAGAAAAATGTACCCCTTCTTTAAGACACGTTGACATTTTTTCCAACAAACAGAAGTAAAACGTGTAAATTTTAAAGAAGATATTTACTAACTTCTGTGGTAAATTTTCATAATAAAGATACAATCCTCTTGGGATTTTCCCTACCTGCCTGCACCATTGCACTTGGCAGCCCTGCAGGCCCTATTGCCAGGCAACCAAACTCCACCAAGTAGTTTTCTTCTTTGACACATGTTCTTCAACTTCTAAACCAGCCAGACTGTAAACAGTGGCCTTTTTCTCCCACCTTCTGAAGTCGAGGCATTCCCATTCACAAAGGGGGCACGTTCCCCCAGGAGGGAGGGAGGAAAAAAAGGCACAGGATCTCAAACACCCTGTTTCTCAATCCACAAGTCACAAAAAATACTTGATAACTGTGAAAAGTTCAATTTGAAATCCAGGGGCACAAATCTAAATTCTCCCACCAGCCCCAGCGGGTGTAAGTGGAGCTTGAGGAAAATGTCAGGGAAGACAGTGGAGGGAATAAATATGAAAAACTCATTAAATACTTACTGCTCTCGCCCCCCGAGGTACAGATGTGGCGAACAATCCTTTTTTTGACCTTTTTCAGTTCATCAAAGTTATGAACTGTCAGTTTTTTATCTGCAGTCCCGGTGATCTGAATGAGCTGCTGGTCATCCACATCCCCGATGCCCACAGAGTAGATGTCGATGCCTTTGTGCCTCAGGGCCTCAGCAGCCTGCGCCACCTCATCTTGGGACTGGCCATCTGTAAGGACCAGCAACACCTGTGGAGTACCTGTGTTTATCCTGCTGCCCATGTCTGGCTGGAAGTAATGTCCCACCTGCTGGAGTGCAGCACCAATGTGTGTGTATCCAAAGATCTGCTGGATGTTTTCAATCTGAAACGATATCTCCTTTTCACCTGTGAAAGTTCCCAGCGGAAACTCCGGCCGATAGGTATGGCTAAACTGGGCTGCTCCTACACGCACTCTGTTGAGGCTGACATCAAAGTCTTGAACAACAGATGCTAAAAATTCCTTCATCTTCTTGAAGTCACTTGGGTGAATGCTATTTGAACCATCCATGAGGAAAACAAGATCTACTTTATCAATTTCACAATCTACAGGAAGAAGAAAGAGAACATCCCCCCCCCGATTGTTATTCTCTCTTTAATCCACCAAGAGTAAATTAAGTGTTTGCAGCTATATAAAAATGACATTAATATTTCTAGAAGTGGTTTACTGGGCTACCCTGTGGTCACATTAATCAGAGAGGAAATAAAAACACACAATAAGTTCATAAAGTCAGCACCAGGCAAAACCACTCATACATCCTTGTATGCTTCTTTTGGCTTGGCCATTTGGTCTTATGCCATTTTCTTTTCTGATATGCTAATAGAACTGGGGAGGGTGCTGCAGAAAACTTGTTCTCGTCTGCAATCTAGGCTTAACCCTTCCAGAAAGCCCAGTAATAGTAGTAGCACCGCAAGAGAAAACAAAACAACACATACCTACTTAAGAGTTTCAAACAAAGAAACAAATGGTTTGTATTATTGACTTGGCCTCCCTGGGCATTTGAGCCAATAAATATTTTTCTGGTTTATTAGGGCAAATTGAGGAGACATTTTAAAAGTGTGCCTTCTGGTATGTATCTAGTTGGTTTTCCTTTTTATCAGCTCCCTTTCTGGTGTATATACCAGAAATACCACTGCAAAAATACCACTTGAGAAAAATGTTTTTGAACAAACAATGCAATGTAGAGATGCTTTGCTTGTATTACTACAGCAAACAAAAACCAAAAAGAATATGAGAGGCTATTGCCAACGGATGAGTTATGCTTGGCACATATTCATGTGTGTTCCTTAGCTTTCTGGTAAGCATTATACTTCCTTGAATTCCCCAGTGCTTCCACCACTGTCCTAACTTAATTAACTCTCATGATAGCCTCCGAAAAGATTAAAGGTATCTGAGATTCCTGAAGTCCAGATAAGCAAGGAAGAGATAAAAAGAAATATGGTAAATAGATCCTTCAGGAATTGGTTAGCTTATTATATTCCTTTGTTTCAGATTCCAATAAAGGAAATCCAGTACTGTTTTTCTGCCCAAAGGAGAACTTTCAATATGAAAATGCAATGTCAACTTCCACAGTGGACTTGAGAAGGACAGATCAAATTTTAGACATTGGCTACAAGGAGAGAAGAGACTTGTCTCAGTTTTCAGTAAGACCCACAAAGATTTTGTTAGTTTTGTGAAAGAAAAAGATAGTAGCAGGAAAAAAAAAAAAAAAGATAGTAGCATTCTGGAGGTAAAACATATGAAAACCAGAAAAGTTAAATGACTTTTACAAAGAACTGCATCCAGATGTTGGAATCATGGATAATAGCAATTCATCTAGTAAAAATACTTAGTATTTTCAGTAAAATCATCTTGGGAAAAACACTTAGGAATTTTAATAGAGCACAATCTCCCTCCAATCCAAAAGTGTAAAATGGCAGCTGAATGAATGAATGCTAAGGAACACATACAAATGTATGTATATACAAATATACATACATCAATACATAAATGCAGCAATGCGATCTCCATCTGTCAGAATAGAAGCACGGCATCTAGACAAAGGAAGTCCACTGTACTCTCTCCTAGAGATGTCTGAGGCTGGAACCAGAGTGTTTGATACTGGGCTCCACATTGCGAATGAGCTTGTGCCATGATAGAAATAGTTAAAGAAACTGGGGACTTCTAGCCTGAAGGAAAGAAAACTTCAAGCAATTATAGCTGGTTCTTAGGAGGAGAATTTCGTTTCTTGTGTAAAGATCAGGAAAAAGAACTAGTGGGTGGAAAAACATGTAAGCAAATTTGTGTTCTAACAAATAAAGCCTCTTCAAAAATGGTGAAGAACTCATCATTAGACGAGGTTAGGAGGATGTGAGTAGGAATGTTGTAGAAGGTATTTTTCTTTGGAGAGGAGGCTGGATGAAATATCCTTGAGGTCTTTCCAACCCTGAGATTCTATAACGTGAGAAGTCCTCTGAAACAATAAGGACTCCTTCTCTCCTCTCTGCAGAACTTGTTCCTCAGGGCTGTCGCTTTGGTTTCTCCCTCATTTGTCCCTCTGTTAATAACTAGGGAAAACTTAATTGACAGGCCTTACCTACTTTTGAAGAATTACAGACACTGGCTGACACATCTGAAAATATCCCCTTCAGGCCTCCAAAAGTCTCCACGAAGAAGTACTTGTCACTTGACCCTGCCATGGCTAATAGTTCCACAGGATTGGCCCCAGCAATCCCCACAGCCAGGACAAGAATGCCTTTGTCCCTCAAGGCCTTCGCTGTGGCATTGAGTTTATCAGCATCATGAGATTCCCCATCGGTGATCACGATGAGGACTTGGGGGACCCCCTTGTGCAGGCGGCTGCCCCGGGCTTCAGTGAACATGTGGTCTGAGAAGCCTAGTGCCTCAGCAGTGTACGTGTTGCCCCCCATGGGCTGGTCTTTCTGGAGCACTGAAATCACCTCCAATTTTGTGCCAAAGTCATCCAGATAAAATAGCACCTCTGGGTCATCAGCGTACTTCAGAGCCCCAAACCGGACCTGATTCTTGCCAACGTCGGCTTTTTTCACTAAGCCAGTCATAAAGTCCTTCATGATATTATATTCGTCATGGTCAATGCTGCCAGAGCTATCGATTACAAACACGACATCCAAAACTTCAATCCGCTTGCATTCTGAAAGAGGAAGAGGAGGAAAAGCATATGAGATTAGCTTTGGACAGCATGGGAGATCCCTCGACATTTTTTTTTTTTTTTAATTGCTGGCATTTTCTCTCCATGGGCTCAGGCTGTGCATTAGAACGCCAAGTCCCTGGATAACAGAGACAATACACGTACATTTGTGCCACCAGTGCACGGTTATACTTAGGTGAGATTTTAGGGCAAGGCATGTGTGAAGTGAAACCTACTGTGGGGAGTGAGGGGGGCAGAGTGACAATCACAGGATCATCAGAAATTTCAAAAACCTTTAGACTAAAAAAAAAAATCACAATTCTGTATAAATTTTCCTATTAAAATGGTTCCTTCAACATGTGCTTTCATTTATACAAATTTATCACTTGTCCTTTTCTTAAGCCACAGGGATCTTGAGATTTTATTCTGAAAATAAACCCTGGGGAAATAACCAAATGAAAATGAATTTGGCAACACTGTATATTTTTTTCATGGTTTTATGATGGCTGATTTTTCGAGGTTACATTTTCTCCCTTTTTGGCTTTTTGAAACATTATCTATTGTCATTATTAGGCCTCATCATAGAAATAAGCCCATTTCTCACATGGCCAGACTAAACTGCTCTTAGCTTGACATTCCTATAACTTTTTAAACCTGAGGTCAACACCATGGAAAAAATAAGGCAGGAAAAATGCAAACAATATTTAATCCATGTGCAGCATGTTCCCTGTAAAGGCGCGGTGTTGCAAACTCTAACTCATTTATTCTGGAGAAGTGGAATTGGAAGATGGTTCATTATTTAGTCCTTATGTAACACATCCTCTCTACAGGCCGTAGGACGGTATGATTCAAACGTCCACTCACCCATTCTTGAGAAATGGAATTGTGAGAAAATGCCTCTCTCCTCAGAGGCTCACGGAATTTCCTTCTTTAGCCAGCCACCTGCTGGCTATGTGAGGGTTGTTGAAAACCCCAGAGCCAATGCGCTTGCCTCACTGGAGGCCATGCGTACCGAGCCATAAACCAAATTCCCAAGAAGAGCTGGCTCCGCTAAAGGAGGAGCTATGTCCCTCTGGCCTTCAGCTGCCTGCAAAGCCTGCTTGGATTACCCAAGGGCCTGGGGGGAGATTGCTCAGTGTTAGAATCCTTCGAGGAGTTCGTATTTGTTCTGGGTGGAATTCCCAGGCAATATGGACCAGGTGTACTCCTTTTTCTACAAAACATAGACCGTGCTCAGCAAACCCTTCCAGTGGGACTGTAATAGAACTGTTATTTGAATAAGAAAACAACGGTCCTCTCCTCCTTTAAAACTCCTTTAAGATCCCTCTCCTTCACAGAGCCTTTTCAGAACACCTCTTCATTCAGCCACATGGGTCACAGCATGAATTGGCCCCTTATATTTGCTAAGCTTTTGTTTGATCACTTCCATTATTCTACAGTTTCATGGGAAGAGGGTGGTGACTACGCCTTTTGCTTCCTTTGAAGAATCCATTGCTCAAGGTCCCTATTACATTCCTCCTTTATAAAATTTAATAAATATCAAGGTGTTTCCACAAATGTTATTTCATTTGATACAAGTATTGGTCTTCAGAAATTGCAAAAATAAACCCCATATATAGTAGATGGCTAGGCCAAAGGAGAGCCCCCTTTCCCAGGCTATGCCCCTAAGCCTGCCTCAGCAGCCCTCACTCAGCCCAGTGAGGCAGGATACACAAGGCCAGGCCCCTTGTGTCAACGTAGGACCAACTCAGTGGTGTGATTCATGCTCTAGAGCTTCCCATGGGATCAGACTGAAATGAGACTCCAGCCAGATGACCTCCTCACTCAGCTCCTACCCATGCCCTGGCCTGCTTTTCCTACTCCCTTCTGAAAACACCTCCTCTATACATCACTTCCACAAGAAACCCTGACCAACTGCTGCTTTTCGGGAATCTAAGTATGACACTACTTTTCTTAAATTGAGGATCCACCACCCTAGTGCTATCTGCCTACAAATCGGACTGAGTCTAGGTGAATAAAATCCTTCCTCGCTGTCTGTTTAATTCAACAGGCCAAAGCCACTAAAATAAACATTTTAATTAAAACAAAAAGTTTATAATGTTTGAATAGAACTGTACTTAATTCAAGAAATAATGATTAACATAGACATCGGTATTTGGATAGCCCTGCTAGTGAATATGCCCATGCTTACCTTCACGAGGACTGCATATTCCAAAAACAAGATCATCTTCAATGTGCTGCAGAATGTCAAAATTCTCAACATAAAAAACCATCTCAGGCCTCCCGCTGATCTCCTCGAGCTGGGTGACATTGGAGCCGAACACTCCCACAGAGTAGATAATTATGCCTTCTTGCCGAAGAGCTACTGCTGGGTCCTTTACTATGTCCTGAGCTTCACCATCCGTGATGAGGATGAGAAACTTCCTGACATTGGGCCGGGCCCCCTTGCTGGGGCTGAAGTACTGAGCCACAAAGGTCAGGGCACTACCGGTCAAGGTGGTTTCTCCAATGTGAGCCATTCGGTCTATTGCATTTGAAATGTCACTTTGGGATGTGAATTTGTTGAGCTGAAACTCCTCCTTATTGATGTCGCTGAACTGGACTACACCAATTTGCACCCGATCTGCCCCAATCTGAGATTTGCTCACCAGGTTTTTCATAAATGTTTTCATTTTGCTGAAGTTTTCAAGTCCTATACTGCCAGAACTGTCCACCAGAAACATGATGTCAGCTTTCATCTCTTTGCAGGCTGCATGGGAGAAATTAGGATGTTTATTCAAGTCAGTTACATGTAAAAAATTGAATGAACAGAAAAATCCAAAACACAAATAATTTTATATTGAAGTTAAGTGTGTGCTTGATAAGAATTGTTAGTAGGTAAATAAAACATTGAAGGCAATAAAAGTGAGAATATTCTTTTTGTTATTTAGTGATTTGCTAAAACATAACTCAAGGTTTCTCAATCTCAGCACTATTGACATTTTGGGCCAAATCATTTTTATTAAGGTGGGCAGTCTGTGCATTGTGGATACTGGAAGATGTTTAGCAGTATTCCTGACCTCCACCTGTTAGATGCCAGGAGCACTCCCCAGTTACGACAACCAAAAACGTCTCCAGACATTGCCAAATATTCTCTGAAGGGTCAAAATCACCTCTGGTTGAAAACTACTGACATAGCTCTAAAAGATTTCATAAAAGTTTTATAAAAAAAAAGAAATTTACATAAACTTGAAATACTCCTAAAATCAAACAATTTGATCATATTACACACTTGGTATCTAATAATATATCTATCCCAGCAGGGATTTCTGGGAGGAAGCTAATTAATATTTCTTGGGGGAATCCCTCCAAATATCTTTCTTACACTTCAGATATTAATTATAACACTATAGTGGGCTCTTAGCTTTGTTCTGGAGAACAAACATAGTTACATAAGTCAACAAACCTCAACTTAGAAATTTATGTTGTTTCTCTAAACCAGCAATATCACAGCAATCTATGAGCCAAAGTCAAAAGGCAAAACCACCACTTCTCTCACCTTCTTCAGCACAGATTTCTTGAACAACTTGGTTTCTTATGTCTTTCAAAGCATCGAAGTCATGCACATAGTACACTCTTTTTTCCTCGCCTGCAATTTCTCTCAGCTGCGTTTGGTTAGCCTCCTTGACTCCGATGGCGTAGACACGGATGTGCTCTTCTCTCAGTCTGTCTGCAGGCTCCAAGACGCTATCCTCGGACATGCCGTTTGTCAGGACAACAAGGTGACGTGGCACTTTGGTTCTTCGCTGCTTCTTTGCTTTTTGCAACAGACTCAGTGTGAAATTCAGGGCTGCGCCTGTGTTGGTATTCCCACCCATCTGCCTGATGTTCTCAATGGCCCTTCCCAAATCGTGCTTGTTTGAGTATTTATCGATCTCAAATTCCAAGTCCCAGCTGTCGGCATACTGAACGGCCCCGACCCTCACCTTGTGGGGACCGATGTTGAACATGCCTACCACCTCTGACAGGAAGGTCTTCATTTCTTGGAAATCTGTGGGCTGGGTGCTCCCTGAGCCATCAATGAGCAGGTAGATGTCGGCTTCCTCAGTATCCACACAACCTACAATGGAACCAAAAAGTTGAATGTGGCATTTGGGGCAACTGTGAAGAAGAAATGGTAGCAGATGGAAGAAGAACAAATACGAACCTCTTCAGACAGAAAAATGGGAAACAGCTTCTTCTGGACTTAAAAGACATTCTTTACTAGCTTAAAAAGGGGAAATCTTAGCATCAGTTGGGCCAAATGAATTGCTTCTGACAGTTTATCACCCTAATTCTCTGCCATTATACAGGGTAAATCTGGATATAGTAAAAGATCAGAAAAACTTGAAGCTGCTTTTTACAAGTCACTTTTCCCATTAGTAAACAATTGCTTAGCAAATAGTCAGGTGGTGTGTTAGGAAATGGAGAAAGCATTTGATTGGACACTGCAGACATATGAATTCTCTTTCTTGAAATCTTGAACAAATTATTTACCCCTCACTCATCAATTAAGTCAACTAGAGATATTGGTGAGCTTATGTATGTAATACAATGACATTTTTATAGTAAATATGCTATAAATATTTGTTGAAGAATGTATACATATATACATATATGTATAGCTATACACAAAAACATTTCCATAGCACACATGTGCATATACGAGATGTATAAAATACATTGCCTCTGTCTCTCTCTCTAAACTTGCAGAATTTAGAATGGTACTTCACAACAAATTACGTAATTACCTTGTCCTCCATCCAAATCATATTTCCTCTTTTTATTCTCTAAATTGGAATTTGAGGATGAGGGAAGAGGAGAAAGAAAAGTTAAAAAGAGAATAAAAAAAAAAGAAAGGAAATATCAGGGAATGTGAGTGGCAAAGGAGTGAATGAAAAAGATAAGGGAGAAAAATAGCAAAGGAAGGTATCATCCTAGGGCCTGCATGAGTAACGAATTCCATTAAAGCTGCACAAAGGAAGTAAAAAGGGAAATCCCTTTTCCCCATGCCAACACCTCAATGGCTTTTATTCCCCCAAATCGGACTTCATATTATCAAGCTAAAGTAAAAAATTAGAAACTTATTCTCCCCACCCATATCCTACCCCACCAATCCCTTTTGCATATATAATATTCAAAAGACAAAAAAAAGACAAGGAAAAAAGAATAAGAATAATCCTTGTCTCAGTAAAAGACTTTACCAGATTTGAGTGTTTCAGTCCTTTCTGAAAAGACAGAGACCATGTGTGTTATTTGGTTCCGCAGCTTCTTCAGAAAGGTCTGGTTGTGAGCTGCCAGGTCAGAGAAGGTCTTCAGTTTGGAGACATACTGCTCAGCTGGGTGAGATGCTATCTTTTCCAACTGGGTGTCACTAGCCCCCTCTATGCCCAAGATGAATATGGTCACGCCCTCGCGCCGGAGGTTAAGGGCTGCCTTAGTCACGTTGTCTTCCGAAGCTCTGTGGGTCACCAGCACTGCAATCTGAGGCACCCCCTGATTCTTCCGGCTGCCATTCTGTGCTCTGAAGACTTCCTTCTTGAGCTTTCTGATGGCAGCTCCAGTATAGGCCTTCCCAGCCTGGGGAGAGAGGTTCTGTATATTCTGGAGAACCTCCAACTTATTTACGCCCCTGCTCAGTGAATTTATCACCTTCGTCTCATTGCTATAGGCCACGAGGCCAACTCTCATGCAATTTTCCTTTATGTCAAGGGCAGATACACTTTCTTCCAGGAATTCTTTAAGGTAGTCAAAGTTCTCCTGGCTTCCATTGATAGACACATCGAACAGGAACACAACATCGGCCACAGAAGGGCCTTGGCAAACTGTGGGCAAAGAATGAACAAGTACAACTTTAGTTGGAGATTCAGCATCTCTGCTCAGCACTGGAAGGCATGAGGAACATACACTGGGGCTCAGTTATACACTTAAAGAAAGGAGGAGATATGCAAAATAATTATGAACCTGAGATCAGTGGGACCTGGGTTCAAATACTAGATCTTAGCTAAACTCCCAGCTTCAATATCCTCATCTGTAACATGGAGATAATAATATTTCTCTCATAGAGTTGGTATGGGGATTAAATGAATAATATATTTAGCATGGGGCCTGGTACATAAGATTCACTCAATGAACAGGAACTACTGCTATCATATTAAAATCATTTAAGCATCACGTTATAATCAGTAGCTACAGTCCAAATATTCCTATGGAATGGTAATGGAATAGCAATTGTACTTTCAATTATTCTATTGGGGAAAGATGCTAGTAATAAGGATTCATATTTTCATAAATTATTTAATACCACGAGAAAAGCATTCTCTATTACCCTTAGGTAATTATATACATCATCTCATTCAAACTGATTTAACCAGGAATAATGTGAGTTTCCTACACTTCTTATCTGGACACATACACTTTGAACAAATTGTTTTTTACTAGATATCCCCTGCCCCTCTCTTGAATGATGTTCATAAACTCTTGTCCATTCTTGTTACTAGAGTAATACAAGAGGACAAAATAGGACGGCATGTTGGCCGTGAAGCAGAACATAGGGAAGCTAGTTCAGAAGAGAGCAGCAGGGAGAGAGGCCACGCAGGGTTGAAGCTACCTGGTTGGGAATTAGCAACCTGACCTGGGCCAGGCACGTCACGTCTAAGGACACCTGCAAGGTCCTCTCTGCAGAAAAGGAGGTTTGGACTATTGACAGTTGTTTCTAGCTCTAACATGCTATGATTATGTTATGTGGCTTCAAGAGTCAAGGATTTCTTTAGAAGCAAATTTACCTTTTAAATGAACAAGTAATAAAACTACATCGCAACTAAAGCCCAGAGAGAAGGTGTCCCTGAGTTTTAAGAAGTCTGTGAATGACGTGCAACATGGATAAGTGAAATGTGGAAAACCAAGGCTTCTGGTGTTCACTGGATTTTTCAAATGGGCATAATCGCTGGACCCTCTTGAACATGTGGACATAGAACATCTGAAAATACAACCCATTTTGGGAACAGGGATGTTCATAGACTTTCAATCCTCATATTGATTTTTCAAAAGCATGTTATCACCATTCTTATACGTGCATTCTAAGCCTACCTTCTACAATGATATCATCAACTGCTGCTTCCTTGTACTTTGTCACATCCTTGATGATCTGCGTCATGTTTTGGGAAAACGTGCTGAGGTCTCTGACCGTCCGGAGGTTGAAATGAAACTGGGACGTGGCCATGGACTTCAGGTTTTCCTCAGATGCTTTCTGCATCCCCACGGAGATGATTTTCACCCCGTCTTTCCGCAGGGCCTTCGAAGCCTCTTCCACATCATCCTCAGACTCGGCTGAAGCCAGGACGACCAAAATAGGGGGGAACTGCTTCTTGTCTCTCCCATTTGTGGGTGCAGAGAAGAAAGTCCTGTGAGCCTCCTGGAGAGCGCGTCCTATCCTCAGGGACCCACCAATGAACCCGAAGTTCTTCTTGAGGTGGTTCAACATGGGGTTCCTGCTCTTGAAGGTGCTCAGCTGGAATTCGCTGTGGAGCTCATCGCTGTATTGGGCCAGGGCCACGCGGTATTTGTCGGCTTCTATGGGGAGACTGTTGATCATTTTGGTGATGAACACTTTCACAAATGGGAAGGACTTAATTCCCAGGTGATCAGAGCTGTCCACCAGAAACACCACATCTGCATACTCAGGGCCTACAGAACCACAAACATACATATAAACAAAGCAAATTAAAGATTTATTGCCATATTTAATGCCAAATAGAAGGGGGGGAGGAAAGTACCTTTCTCTGTATTTTTTTAATACCTTCCCAATGAACTGAAAATAATAATCTGAAACTACACATTCTCTCAAGAAAAAGAAATATTTGTTTTTTGGGATAAATCTTCTATACAACCTCTTGTTTGAAGTGATCACAAAATTAAGCATCACTTTTTCAAGGAGTTAGTTAATTAGAAGAAGAAAGGTTTTTGTACCTTTTGTGTATTAATTTCGCTTGTACTTTTTTGCTCTCAGAATTTGACCTCAATTTATATCAACAGGATAAAAATTTTAATGAAGAACCAAACTCCTTCAAATTGGTTTGAATGATGAAATCTGAAAGACAGCCTTTCATTCTCATTTGAGGACTGCAACAGGTGATCTGATTACCTTATGGACATATTAGTTTTGTATTCCAATTTGTCAAATTGATGAAATTTAAAAAATACCTACCAGTCATAAAAATAGGGAATTGCTTTAAAGTTATTTGTAATATTTTTGATAAATCATGAGTAACATTATAATTGGCGAATTTATTCTCACATATGCAAAATGTTATGGCAGCAATATATCTTGGGCTAGAAAAGGAATTACAGTTTCAGTTTCTATTAAAAATATAAGTTTTATATAGGAATATGATATTTTACTAAACTTTTAAAGTTTCATTCAATGCTACATTCAGCACTAGGTATCTGGAATTATATTTTTACATGATAAAGAATCACTGGATTCAAATACTAAATGTTGATTACTGTTGGTCTGGTGGCTTGGATTCAGAGCTCTATCTTAGCACAAAATCCATTTCTTGTCTAGGGAAGGGAAGGAAGTGTGTGTGGTATATATTTAAGAAAATACAGTGTAATTGAACAAGTAATAAAAGCCCTGACTTTGCCATCAGCTAATTCTATGAGCTCTGTCAAGCCATTTAATATACTTGGGCCTTAGTTTCCTCTGTTATAAAATTAGTAGATTCAACTAGAAAATATCTAAGATACCTCCTCAACTTTGAGATTCTTGTTATCTGAAATGGTTACTAGATAAATTCTAATAAGACTGAAAATAATGTCAATCTTTTCCTTTCTGCCATTGCTAGGAAGCCGGCTTTGGCACTCTGTGTGCTATTTCATTCTTTTTATATCAGTCTGACCAAGGCAAAGTAGATAAAATAATTTTTTCTTATCCTTAAAATAACCTAATTCCAACCAATTTGAGATTCCTTTCATGGTCACACAGCCAGCAGCATCTCAGGGGAAGAAATATATGAGGGTGAATCAATATCTTCCCGCCAAGACTGGGATCCCAATGAGGGCTGTCAGGTGAGCCCTGCCCAGAACTGCTTGACTTGAGACCAACAGTGACCTCTCTATTCACAAACAAATTCCCATATCTTGTGTGGGGAAAGGAAATATAGATGACTGGCACAGGAGGTGGATTTGGGTTCTGATGAGGTCCACCACTATGTCTGAACCATGAAATGACTGGGGGAAAAAAACCACTGCCTCTCCTTAAACAGGTTAAGGCCCAGTGAGACATCAAAGGAAGATGTATGCAGGGCACAGTCTAGTTTATCTCTTCACAAAACTTGCTTCCAAGGTCAGAGTCCTTGAGGAAGCTATACAAGCCAATGTAGGTGGCCCTGGATATGAACTGACTGGCACGAGAACCAGTTATTAAAGAGGTGGTAGAGTGGTGAAGGGTGGCCCAGTATTTGGACTTTAAATCCATTGGACATAGATTGCTGGTAGACAGCAAACCATGATACAGAGCTTTCTCTTCATGGCAAAAACACTTTCATTAGAATAAGCAGACAGTTAAATTGGAACAAAATCCGGAAATTTAATCAAGACAATCTTTTGGCATAAATGAATTAGGTAGAGACATTCCAAATTTTCCAGGGCTGAACCTAATATTAACAGATAGAATTTTAATGCAATCTCCTAGAAGACCTAAAACAGGTTGAAACCAAGGTGAAAATGGCAGCTCTCATATCTTTCTATCGTTAACAAGGAATAAAGTACAGAAATAAATGATGTTCAAAGAAGCATAGGGCAACCACAAAAAGAAAGTGACCTACCACCTCCACCCTCATTACTATCAAAATCAAAACAAAGTGAAACAAAACTCTTAACATTTAAGTGAATCAAGCTCATATATTATCTATTTTCTATAATGAAAGTTAAGGAAAAAAATTCTTTCCATTTTGTTTTCTTACCAGGATCTTTATTCACAGAAACATGGGAACAAATTATTATGAGGAACAAAATCAGTAACATTTTCATATTATGACCTGAAAAATCTCCAACTTGAAATCTGAAAGGCAGAAATAGAAATATAAAATACAAAAATATAAACATCTAATGTCACACAAATAAGAGCACACAAAATTATATAATAGATTAGGAGCAACAGGGGACAAGGAATTTTTGAGGTTCACCGACCTTCTAATCTGTGAAGTGCCTTGGAGAAAAATGAACCATCAACATTTATAGTCATGAGAGTTTTTCTGGTCCCCAGACCCTGTAGAAACATGAAATTTTGGACAGTCAATAGAGGTAGCCAGATGCACTTTAGTTCTAACAATACATGTTCCAATGAATCATTTCCCCATAGCCTAATGTCATCCTCTGTCTACTCATTGCCAAGACAATTCAGAGTTCACAGTTGGGACACAGTCTAAGATCTGTATTGTAATCTCACCATCATGAACACATAGGTGTGTTTCATCTTTGAATAATAATTATTTCTAGGCCAAGCATGGTAATTCATGCCTGTAATACCAGGTCTTTGGGAGGCCAGGGTGACCAAGGCCTCATTCTTTCCTTGAGGCCAGGAATTCAAGACCAGCTTGAGCAACATGGTGAGACTCTGTTTCTACAAAAAAATAATTTAAAAAATTATCTGGGTATGGTGGCACATGGCCTGCAGTCCTAGCTACTTGGGAGGCTGAGGCAGGAGGATCCCTTGAGCCCAGGAGTTTGAGGTTGCTGTGAGCTACGATGATGCCACTGCACTCCAGCCTGGGTGACAGAACAATACCCTGTCTCTAAAAAAAAAAAAAAAATTTAGATGTGGCCAAGGTTCCATGTCTTTTCCTCTTTCTCCCTAATTAGAAGGGTAACTATTTCCTTTTATCCTTAAATTTGAGAGAAGACATAAAAACACTAGCAGTGACTCCCCATGTCCCATATGATGCCTTGTTCCTCAGAATGAGCAGCTCAATTTATGCCATCTTATGTCCAACAACCTAGAACTCTACGAGGCAAGGGTTTTCCAACATCAGATGGGCCTAAAGCATTTTTAGCCACCTTGAAATGTTCGTTTCATGGGATGAAACAAGATATTAAAGATATTGAGAATAAATATTTTAACAAAGCAGGTTGAGCTCATTCATTCACTCATTTATTCATTGAAAAAGATCAATTGATCCATTTTCCAATCCATTAATAAACTTGTGTCTCTGTGTCCTGCTCAACTGCTACCCAAACATGTATCTGCAATACTGTATTTGACTATTCCACTTTACACCAGGTAGGCTCCGAGTGTTCAATATTTAACCTCTTCAGAAAAGGGACATTTGCCAAGAGAAAGTCCATCCCTATTTCTTTCATTGTCCTTCTGAAGTTTTGTGACTTGGAACTCTGTTCTAGTCCTTCACAAGTCTGGATGATATAAACTTTTCAGGCTGTAAATCAATTTATCAGTCTATTCAAATCAATAATCAGTGAGCTGGAAGGGGCTCCTAAGAGGTTATTTCTAGAACAACTCTTTCATTTAGAGTAACTAAACCCCAGAGTGAAAACCAAGTTATCCCATCTGTACAAATTTTTCATCAATGTGTATAATAAATAATAAATGCTATCATTCAATAAGACTTTGCTATATGCCGTGCCCTGTGCTAACAGCTTTACATTTGTCTCATGTTTGATATTGATAATGACCCTAGTAGCAGCTACTATAACTGCTCTTATTTTGTAGATAAGGAAACAGATTCATAAAGGGGAAGGTCACAATGGTAAAATGGGCTACAGTTGAGACCAGAACCCATGTCTGTCTCACTCCAAACCTGTCATTTAAAACTCAGTCACCCTGCATCTCAAACTCAATGTTATGAACACAAAGTGTCTCCCAGTCTCTTCCATTTTAAGTCTTCTTAAGTATTAAGGACTATTGGTGCTTGTTTTCATACCTTTTAATTTTCTCTTTTCAAAACCAGGGCTTTATGCTATTCTTTTCTTGTCTGTTTACATCATGAGCTTTATAATTAGGACAGTCTTTAGGAGTTATGAGAGATAAAAGAAAAAAAAAATACTTTGGGGAGAGTCCACAGGATCAATGTTAGAGGTTTCACAGTCAAATGGGTAGAATACAGTAAAGAACGAAGGTCAAATACCTAGATAGGGAAGAAAGGATTAGGTGAGGCCACAATAGTCCGAAAGTAGCATGTGGCATCTGGAAATTTCCCCACACAGATGGTCAATACCATTGGTACTTTAAAAGTTAATTTCTCTGGGTTAGCATCTTGCAGAACAATTTTCTTGCAGTCTTTCAATGAATTCAAAGTCTGGGGTGCTGTAAGGCTATACGATGTTGAAGCCCATTGAAAAATTCTCTTGAGATGCTTGTGTGCCCTACTTTGTGTATGTGTAGGGGGTGTGGTAAATTCATGCTTGGGAGGCAGTAAGATGGGCTCCTTTGTGCCACATCAAAACATGAAAGAACCTATAATCTGTATGTCATTCTACTACCAAATATGACCTGGATTTTCAAACTTGAATTTTTAAAATATCTGATCACCTGAAGACATGTGAGGTGAGAATGAAGGAGATGTTTATTTACAGTAATCAATATAAAATTAAAATTCACAGTAAGCTCCATCTTGATATAACAACAGTAAGATTGATCGCCTCTCATTATGGAAACACTCTTAAAAGTACACGTCTCTATAATCTGAATTTTGTTGCATTGCATTCATTCTGAATCAAGAAAGCTAAGGCCAACACATCTCTTTTGGAAGTTACATGCTATAAATGCCTTTTAAAAAATCTGGATCTCTGTAAACTAGAATGTTTCTAATTTAAACTACAGCTGCAAAAGAAACACAGCCACCCAAGCCTTGGCTTCAAACCCAGAATGTTTAGAACTTGTACAATACCTCTCTCGAGGCTACTAAGAACCAAGTGTTTCAGAGAGACTTCTGCCCCATTCATAATCTGGGTCATGTCTTTTAAAAAAAGTTAATAGCCCAGAAGGAATACAGAAGAAACTTCAGCAAAATTAAGATAAATGTCATTTTTTTCCTTTAAAAATGAAACATGCAGGATATATTATTTGTAAGTACTGATTTTATTTTTCTTCAGAAACGATAATATTATCAGCTGGTTCACTGTAGGAAACAGCACTGGGTCTTTGCCACAGTATTAAAGATAAATGGTTGTTTGCCTATTTAACCCCTGATGTCTTCATTATTTGCCTTCCTCCGGCCATTTTACTCAGAAGTCAAAAGGTAGAAAGAAAAATATTCAAACTGAGACTTCAGGTCATATTAAAATGCTGCAGTAGAAACCCTTGACACACAATAGGCACAAAAAACATTGATCAATGGTGGTATGGAAAACAAAATACACAAGTACTTGTGGTGTAAGCAAATTGCATAGTTTTCACCTTCCCCCAGTTCCATTTTCTGGAATCACAAAAAAGCTTTCCATGTTGATCATATTTGAACAAGGTCATGCAGATGACTTTGCCACTTTGTAAAATGAACACTCTTTTTGTTGAGGAGGCACTTGGCTGAGTAGAAAGAGCACAGGCGATAAAGTCTCATGACTTGGGTTCCACTCCATTTCTAAACTGCTGTATGATCTTAGACAATACCACCTCACTTTCCTAGGTTTCAAATCTGAAGCTCAAGGGGTTAAAATCTCTCTAAGTCCAAGCAACTCCACACTCTAACAGTCCTTTGATCTCAGAAACATGACTAAAAAAAAAAAAATATGAACAATTAAGCTAAGAGCACATTTGAACACTGAGCTTAAAGCTTAGCAGATTAGGAGTAGAAGGAAATATACTTAACCTAACAAATGATATACTTTAAAA